ATCCGTTTGAGTAAACAACAAATATATTCACTGAAGTCTGCTTCGTGTATAAAACATGACTGGAACTGGCAGGAAGCTGCCATTTACGGTGGTTACCTCTAGGGTTTACTTACAGCTGTGGAGGTGCAGAGGGAGAATGGAGACCTTTTTATGTTCTACTTGTAAACTGACGGCATTTTTTTTTTTTTTTTTACAATGCTCAGGTATTACTGTCATGCTTGTTAAAAGCTGTGATGATTAGAAAAGAGGCTGCTGCAGTGGGTCAGGCGGAAGGTCATGACCTGGGGCGGGACCAAGGAAGATGGATGGGAGGGTCGGGGGAGGAAGAGTATGCTGACCCTGGGAGAAGGTGAGGGCTCCCACCCAGGGGGAGCCCAGGGCATCCTGTGAGAGAGCAGAGGCGACACGTCGGCCAGGAAGATGTCTGTGCTCTCTGCCTTGCTCAGCCCTCAGAGGGAACTCCTAGACTAATGTCAGAATGTTCTCCGTGACTTGAGAATGTGCTGGTCTAAGGCTCTCATGTCAGCCACAGGTTATCATGGATACTCCTACGTTCAAGAAGTGTCAACATCTGGCAAAGGGAAAACTGAAGTTTAAAACATATTTTAGAAGTTAGTAAGAGTGATGTCTCTCCCGACCCCAATCCAACTGATTATCCAGTCTTGCCAGGACCACTCCCAACTGCCCCCCCCCATATAACTGTTGTTAATGGTTTGTTGCAATTTTATTCATAATCAATCTCTCTCTCTCTCTCTCTCTGTCTCTGCCTGTCTCACACTCACTCAGGTACACCTAGATACAAACATCTCTATATTTATTTTACAAAAGTGGAATTATTCTGAACATTAAAATCTGACACTTTTTTCCCCCAAATAACACACCAGTGATATCTTTCTAGGACAACACACATAACTATTTCCCATGGTTTTTAGTGGCTGGATTAAAACCAGTACTCTATGACAGATACTTGGTTGGTTTTCATTCACCACAGAACCTTAGCTTCAAAATAATCCACTGTACTATAATGCTTTTAATGCAGTTTTCTCGTCTCCCATGACCATACTATATGATGCAAGTAGTTTAATTATGCTTTGGAAATGATTTTTAACAAGGCAATAAACTTTCATTAATAGGATTCAATTCTCCAAGCACCAGGAAGCACAGTGGATGGAGCGCTGCAGTTGGGAAAAAGCATTTTATAATATTAATAGAGTCCTACATCTCGCTTTGATCCAAAGGTCTGCCGTCCGGGTGGGATTAAGAATCACAGTCAGCGTTCTTGTCTGGGAAGCACTACTCTAGATCAGTTGTCCCCACAGACTCATGGTAGCTCCAGAGAGGAAGACAAAACATCTTGCCAGGAATCAAATCTCACTGACACGCTCACTCTGTGCTCTGGCCCAGCCCAGTCCAACCCAGCCCAACTGTCAGGCTGGGAGGGACAGAGAAAAACAGAAGCTAGATGATAAATAAAAGCATACTCTTCCAGGCTAAGATGTTGTGTTATCAAGTTCAGGGTGGACCTTCCATCCCAATGAGCATATCACTCTAGGGACAGGAGATGCTAGAGACAACTGGCAAATTTCCCAGGCTCCCTGAGGAAAACAAACCAAACGAAACCATCTGGCTCCATCTTATTTATGGTATCAGAGGTTTTGATGTCCACCATCAGAGAAGGAAATGGAGCTAATGGTGGCACAAAAAGAGAATTTTTGAGAGAATTCCCTCAAAAAGAGGGTGTACTGAACATTCCATTTGTTGAACAGTGTTTCCCAAACACCTAAATCAGTATTTATGTAATTACTGGCTAATTGTTAATTTCCCCGTTAAAAAGGTAAGTTCCATGAGGGCGGGACCCTGTCCTTATTCATACCCTCGCACTTTCTCCCACCAGGGGAGACAGTCCACATATGAGTGGAATATAAGAAACAAAACAAATGAACAAACAAACCAACAAAAAAGAAGGCAAAAAACCCCCAGACTCTTAAACACAGAGAACAAACAGGGAGTTGGCAGAGAGTAAGTGTGTGTGTGTGTGGGGGGGGGAATGGGTGAAATAGATAAAGAAGAATAAGAGGTACAAACTTCCAGTTACAAAATGAATAAATCACAGAGATGAAAAGTACAGCATAGGGAATATAGTCAATAAAACTGTAATAACGTAGGGTGACAGATGGTCACTACACTTATCGCGGTGAGCATTTGGTAACATATAGAATTGTTGAAGCACTGTGTGTACACCTGAAAGTAATATAACACAGTATGTTAATTATACTTCAATAAAGAGAGTAGAAATGCAAAAAAAAGTCAAAGAATTGATTTAAGTCACAATTGCACTAAATTTTACAAAGCAGAATTGGTTTGATGGGGTCAGAGACAGCTTCTGGAAGGAGGAAAGGATTGAGCTAAAATCTGAAAGACAGGCAGGAGAGGAGGGGGCAAAGGAGCTTTCCAGGCAGAGAGTGGAGCGAAGGTCCTGGGATTGCTGAGCACAGAGCACTGGAGAGAGAAAGAAGGCCAAGACAGCTTGCAGCCCAGGGAGTGAGGCTGGTGAAGGGCATCATGTGAGGGTGGGGACACAGGAGACAGATGGCACAAAACCTTACAGGTCAAGGAGTCTGGTCTTGATCCTTAGTACGATGACACCCATTGAAGGGTTTCAGGCAAAGGAGCAACAAGATCAAAGTTGCATCGTTGGCTCTGGCAATGAGATCTTGTAAGGGGCAAGCAGATTGGAGGAGAATAAAATAGATGTGGGGAGAATAATTAGGAGGTTGCTGAAGTGGCTTATGCAAGAGATGACATTAGTTTGGACCAGGATAATAAAGATGGAGAGAAACAGAGTTGGATCTGTTTAGGAAGGAAAATCAGTAGGACTTATTGTTTAAATGCAGGGGATCAGGAAGGACCACATTAAGAATAACTACCTGATTTCTGGATGATGCATCTGCTGGAGCAGCTATTCACTGAGGAGGTCCAAGTTCAGAAGTATCATGAAGTGCGTGGATAGTTGCAGGAACTGAAACGAACATCCACTAGCATTTTGTACAGTGCCTAGCGGGGCCAGTGCCATGCCTTCGATGAACTATCTAACTTAATCCTAACTGCAATCCTATAAAATAGATGCTATTGCCCCCATTTTTGAGATGAGAAAACAGAGACTCAGAAAAACTTAATAACTTACCACCATTCTCAGAGCTAAACATTGGCAGAGCTGGGATTTGAACCCAAATCTCTTCCGTTCTAAAGCAGATGGATCTTAATGACCAGCCATCCTGCTTCACGACAGCTCCTGCTTACATGGGGAAAATTTCACGATTTCAAAAAAACCTGATAGTTAATCTGGAACTCTGAAGCCAAATCTCCCTAGGGAACCTGCAGTCCTTTCCTCAGGACTGCTCAGAGTAAATTTTCCAAATCAGGAAGATAATTCTACATGTCTCCCCCATTCTTCACTCGCTACTCAGCTCTTTTTCTTCCCTTCGCTTTTCCCCCAAACTGAAGGTTAACTCCAGTTGCCATGATCCCCTCAGCTTTGCCTTCTCCAAGCTCCTATAATATTTTTAGTCTTGGCACTCATTTTGGCAGTGATCATAGGCAGGCTACCCCGCAAGATTTCCATGCATTTTCTACTCCCTGACATTTCATTTCTTCTCATGCGAACTTCCATACAGTATATAGTGACTGCCTGTAAGTCCTTCATGTACTGAAGTCAGACTGTTGTAAATAAGCTAACAAACACAAATTTCACACTATGACATGCTATGGGTCTGGCTGCCAACCAACAGCTCAGTTTTACCAATGTCACTATCTATAGCTAGAGAGTCTCATTATATGTGCATTTAACTTCAGCACATTCAACTATGTGTTCTTGGTAGAGCAAGAGAGAGAAAGAGCTCACACAATTTAAGCAGAGCTGGCCATTATGCTTGCCATTCCCATCAATAAGCACCTGTCCCATGAGATAGGAGATGAATCCGCTGTTCCTGCAGCTGGTTCCAGGCCCTCAAGACCTTCCCCATTGTGAGTAATTCTCTGGACAGACTCTGACTTTCGTGTTTAAAGACACATATTTTAGATACGTCACAATCTCTAATTTTAGTCAACTGCTTTTCCAGTCCCACGATTAAAGAAACAGTGACTATCCCTAGACTGGAGGAGAAACTGGGTCTGTTGCACTCTTCCAGAGATAAGAAAAGCTTGTCCCTGCTCATTCCGATATTGCACACCACACTTTCTTTTGGGAACTATCCCTGAGATACGAATACCGTGATGTCGGTCTGTGATCCTGTAATTATCTGAACTTTAAATTGCATTCTGCTTTTATTACTGAATATAAACACGCAGGAATTGGAAAATAAAAAGTCCTACTACAACTAATAAATATACATCTCAAACAAAGAAGGCAAAGATGGAAATTATTAGGCCTCCTGAAGTCAAATGTGAAGAAAAAGAACAAAATTTTGCAAAAGAATTAAATGTTAGCCCCGCATCCCCCAAACAATCAATTATTGGGGATTTTACAATTGACTTTCTGGAAAAGATTCTCCAGGTTGCATGGACATAAAATCATGATACAGACACATTTTTGGGGAGGAGGTCAGGTTCAAACATCAGACTATCATTCTGAACCAGCTCTGCTGCCTATGGGGCAGGTGTATTAATTCTTACTCCCTCAGAGTTTTGTTCACGCCATCCGTATAAAAATGTAGAGCTCTACAGTGAATCTGATTGCCACTACCTGTCACTGTCTAGATTGTGAGCTCCCCGCAGGCAGGTTCTAAGCCTTACAAACCTCGGCGTCTGCAGGACCTCAGAGAGGGTCTGACTAAAAAGGAGCCCTCTGCAGAGACTAGAGAGTGGGGGAACCAGTGAGTAGCCAGACCTATCACTCTGAGATTCATCGCTTCTAATGAACTAGGGAAGAAAGAAAGGTCCAATAGCCCTCAGGTCCTTGTGCCCAGCCCGGAGCTCCGCTGTGCACATTGCTCTGCCCTTACCTATCCAGAGAAATGCAGCACAGGTGAAAAATCGATGCCGTCGTGAGCAGGACGTCTAGAGATGTCCGGACAAGGCAAAACATCTCCCCATAAATCCAGATGTCTTGAACCAGCTCGATGGCACCAAAGGGCATCACCAGCACCGAAACCAGAAGATCCACAAAGGCGAGAGATACAATGAAGTAATTGGTTTTTATCTTCCTGTGAGTGAAACATGTAAGGGAGGAGGCAGGGGGGAGGAACAAAGGAAAAGGGGAGCGAAAGGAGCAGGAGAGAAAAAAGGAGGAGAGGAAAACAAAGAAAGAAGGGAGAGAGACAAAGGAAAGGAAAGTCAACTCTCCAGTGCATTCTGCAAGGCCCCCTTTCCCTGCCGCCACACGGCGTGCATGGTCCAGCCACCCCTGACTTCTCCGGACCCCCTTGCACCCAAACCCCTCCCATCTTCTTCCCTGAGGCCACACGGGCCTGATTTGAGCCCCGATGCACGGAACCCCTCCCTAGGGCCTCTACACAGGCTGTTCTCTCTCCCCATCCATCCTCCCCTTCAGGCCATGGTTTGGTTATTCTCAGGGGACCCTCCCAAAGGGCCCTCCTCACAAATGGTGTCAAATTCCACTGTTTTCCTCTCTGAGATTGATTACTGCGTGCCTCACGTTTGTGACCCCGGTCAGAATTGTGCTTTTACACTTTCTTTGCATCATCCCTGGATTCGTGCATGCCTTGCTTAGAGGAGGGCGATAGATCAGGCAGGAATGCATCTTTTATGCCCCCTCATGGCCTGGTGGCTCTCCATCCAGGCTGAGCCTTAGAATCGCCTGGTGAATTTTTATATATATGAATGCCCATGTCTCTCCCCAGATCAATTAGTTCAGAGACTTTGGGTGACTAACCTATCCATGCACCCCCCCCCCAGGGTTTCAGATAAAATAGAGCACTCCTAGTTAAATCTCAATTTCAAATAAACAACGAATAACTATTCAGTAGTATGCTCCAAATACTATATGGGACATATTTATACTACACATCAGCAATTTCAAAAGATCTTCAGATGATTTTAATTGCAGCTGAGTTGAGACTCATGATGTGGCAAGAGCAGAAAACACAGGTTTAAATACTAGATCAGTCACTGGGCAGCCACCCCTTTTCTGAACCACTGATAAAGTGGGGGGGTTAGATTAGATACGTCCTCAACAATAGTATGTTATATATATATATATATAGTGATCACACCTATTACCAACCCTCCCCCACCCCCAAACCCGAAGTTGAACACAGGAAAAAGATGGGACGGAGATGCATGTAAGTGCTTACACTGGTTATGTTAGTCATGGGAAATTATGTGTGATTTTTCCCTGCTCTATTTCACAACATCATTTCCCTTTCATAATTACAATTATAAAGGAATTCATAGTTCAGGCCCCAGCTGTCCAGGGAGAGCCTAGAACTCTACACCGGTTTCCTCCTGAGGTCTCCTCCTGCTACTCACCTGAGCTGCCTGTCCCTGCACACAGCCACCATCACCAGCAGGTTCCCCAAGATGGCCATCAGGATAACCGCCGAGAGAAACGTGAGCAGCACGACCTTCTCCACTGACCCAAAACCCTCCTTGGAACTGGAAGACACACATGCACACAGGCACACACACATACACATACACATACACAGAATTAAAGGAAACTCTGAGACACGGGAAAGAAAATCAATTTTTCCCCTCATTAATCTTCAGGAAGGTAACTTTAGCATCAGCAGCTGTAATACACATTTATTGTGCACCCAGTGTATGCCAATGTCCGTACCTATTACTTTACACGTTATCCTAGTTAACTCCTACATAAGGAGGAGGAGGCTCAGAGAGGGGAATTAACTACTCTGAAACTGCACAGTTATTCTCCATCAGAGAGCCTGTGACTTTCCTTCAGAGCACTTACCTCAGCTTGTGCTCAGAAATGTATTTGGTTGATTCCTGTTTCGTGCACTTCCCCAGCTAGAATGTAAGCTCCATGAGGCAGAGACCTTGTCTGTTTTATCCACTCACTGATCAATTCAATTTCAATGCATCACTCACATTTGTCGGATGAAGGAAAGATGGTGTTGGATGAATGAATGACAGTAACTTGAACCAGGGTCTGCGTGAATAGAAGGGCCACCCTCTCTCCAGATCCCTATCCCTGCCCATGTGGCAGCTGCTGTGTACAGATGGGCTGTCCAAGGGAGAGGTCATGGCTTGAAGATTGTTCTAACAAAGTTGACCTGAATAAACAGAAGTCCATTGCAAAGACAGCAGCCATCAATATGCTCAGGGGCTCCTGTCACTGCCCTGGACCCTATTTCTTTTGGTGCCCAACATCACAGCTCAAATCTGTGTTCTTGTCAATTTCAGCATCTGATTTGGTCCTATAAACCCTGACCTCCTAGTGCAAACTCAGCATTTTGTTTTAAGTAATTTGGAAGCAAGTGTCCACATCAATGAAAGCATAAAATCTGAAGGTTATTAAGAAGCTATAAGAAAAAGTTTTATTTTTAATAGAGTAGTAATAAAATTCTCTTTCTTAATGAAGTCTCAAAGGATCTCAAAACTCTCAGACCCAAACCCTGCATTACAATATGGAGAAACTGAGGCCCAGAGGGGAGAACTGAATTGGCAAAGTATAGTAGCGTCTGGTCTGGGAACAGCTCCTTGTCCTGTGAGCCCACCACTGGAAACACAGGGTCCCAGGAAACAAGAAAGAGCTGTCTTTACTGAGCTACTTCGACTGAAAACCAAGATGGCTGCTGGCCCCACCACGTTCTAGCTCTGGCCTCCTCGCAAATTCTTTCCCTTAGGTATGGAGGACAAGATGCCAACTGGAACAAGGAACCAGTATTGCAGCGGTTGGAAAACCAACAAGTTCCTCCACTCTGCTGACAAGTGTTTTGATCGAATGAAGTTGTTATGGCTAAGGGTTCATGAAAAGAAATTCAACTTATGTTCATCCAAATCACTCTTCCACACCTAAATTCCAACTACCAACATGTTACAAATACTGGACAGGGGAAGATTTAACTCAGGAGGAAAAGGCTTCAATAGGGTGATAGGGCTACCCCGAACTAATTTGATCTCAGGCCATGTGGATGCAGGTAAAGTGTCTAACAAAGGAGGTGACAGTGGTTTTTCTCCTTGTCCTTCTCAGAGGCTCTGACTGAGAGCACTGCTGAAACATGTACCTCCCCCCAAAGCCGCTGTACTTGCTGTGCCTTCCTCCTGGGATGCTTCTTTAGTGGCTGGCTTCTTCTTGCCATTCAGGTCTCAGATTAAAGTTAATCCCCATTTAATGTGCCACAGCCAACAAACATTGTGCATTTTCTTTATAGCACTTGTTCTCTGAAATGACTTCTGTTGTTGATTACTGTCTGTGTCCCGCTCCCACAGAATGACTTTGGTTCTCTTTTCCACCGCAATTCCCAGATCCTAGCACAGTGTCTCATCTGCAATATGTGTGTACTGGTATGTGTAGTACATGGGAAGTACTCAATTATTTTCTAATTTAAAAAGAAAGAAAGACAATGTATTCATAATGGTGAGGTTTATTCTTCAATGTCTTTGAAGACTGGCTGGAGGTACAAAGAAGATTTTGCCTAGAGAAGAGAAGACCCACAGATAAGACACAAAAGCTATTTTTAATTAACTGAAGCACTGTCATTTGAAAATAAGAGTAGATTTATGCATTCATTCATTCAACACTATTTTCTGAGCACCTACTCTGCATTAGGCATTGTTGTATGTCTTATAGAAGCAGAGATAAGTGAAACAGAGAACAGTCAATGAATAGATAAATGAGAAACTATGTAAAGTATCAGCTATCACTATGGTAAAAAATCGAGGAGGGAGAGGAGGACAGGACTGCCAGAGGGGGATGAAGGGCTGGCTATTTAATAGGAGTTGTCAGAGAAGGCACTGTGATGGGGTCATCACAACTGACGCCCTCTAGACTGCGGAACTAAGTGGGACCAGTGGTCAGGTTGGAAGCAGTGGTTCTCAACTTTGGTTACATAGTAAGACAAATACCATATGATTTCACTCACATGTGGAATTTAAGAAACAAAACATAGGGGAAGGGAAGGAGAAAGAAAATAAGATAAAAACAGAGAGGGAGGCAAACCAGAAGAGACTCTTAACTCTAGGGAACAAACTGAGGGTTGCTGGAAGGGGAGGCAGGTGGGGAGATGGGGTAACTGGGTGATGGGCATTAAGGAGGGCACTTGATGTAATGAGCACTGAATCACTAAATTCTACCTCTGAAACTAATAATACACTATATGCTAACTAAATTGAATTTAAATAAAACATTTTTTTTTTAATCACCTAAGAAGCCTTCACAAATGCTCATGTATGGGCTCCAATCTCTAAGACATTGATTTAATTGGTCTGGGTTTTGCAGCCTAAATATTGGAATTTTTAAAAGCTCTCAAGTTATTCTGATGTGCAACCAAGGTTGAGAGTCACTGCTAGAGAAAGGTAAGATTTAGTAACAAACAGTAAGAACTTTCTAACAACTAACTATGGTCCGCAGTAGCTTCCTGGCATTGTTTTGAACTCCTCAGCTTGGGACAGAAATGTTTAAGAATACCTATTATGCCACTTTGCACCCATTAATATGGCTATTATAAAAATAAAACAAAACTGAAAAATGACCAGTGTTGATAACCACATGGAGAAAGTGGAACCCTTGTGCATTCTGCTGGAAATGTAAAATTGTGTGGCCACCGTGGAAAACCATTTCTCAGAAGAAACTTTCTCAAAAGTGTCTCAAAAGACTAACCATAGAATGACCAGATGATCCAGTAGTTCTAGTTCTAGGTATAACCCCCAAAGAATTGAAAGCAGGGGCATAAATAAATACTTGTATATCTACGTTTATAGCGTATTATTCATAATAGCCAAAAGGTAGAAATAACCCAAGTGTCCATCAATAGATAAATGGATAAACAAAATGTGGTAATACATATTATGGAATATTATTCAGCCATAAAAAGAAATGAAGTTCTGATACAAGCTACAACATGGATAAAACTTGAAAACAAAATGCTTAGTGAAATACGAAATAATCCAGACAAAAAGACAAATATTGTATGATTCCATTTATATGAAGAGCCTACAATATGCAAATTCACAGAAACAGAGAACAGAATAGTGGTTACCAGGGACTTGGGGGAGCAGGGAATGAGAAGTTATTTAGTGAGTACAGAGTTTCTGTTAGGAAGAGGAAAAAATTCTGGAGATGGATAGCAGTGATGGTTGGACACCATCGTGAATGTACTTACTGTCACTGAACCACACGTTTAAAATGGTTATTTTACATATTAATGGTAAATTTTATGTTATGTATATTTTATCACAATAAAAAAAGGTTACATGGATGACCACATATCAGGATATTGCAAAGGGCTCCTGTGTTGGAGGCAGGTTGAACTGGCTGATTTTTGGTTGTTTTCTTGTCTATGGACAATGATCTGAACATATTCTTAGAACATGGATTCTCCATCAACCACATCCTCACCAGTAGAACCATCTCCCCTGTATTGCCTTTCCTCTTGTAGGAGAAAAAGCCAGATTCAGGAGATGTGGTGAACACTTCTGGCACCAGAGAATGTATATTTCAAATCAAAAGGCTATGTCAGGGTCAGAGAATCCCAAGTTCTGTGTTACGGTTCATTTGCGGCAGGCCAATTAGGAACTAGAAATAGCTAAACTTTAAACTGTGAGTGACAAGCAAAATTTAAATCATGGAAGGAGCTTTTCTAATTAAACAGAACTATCCACTGAACTAAATGTAAGTCCAGTAATGATAATTAAAATAAATCAGGAACCACTTCAGCAAAATCCATGTTAGATCCCTAGGTTACCTCTGACAGCCTCCAACCACTCCATCAACTGCGACCAGGCAGTCCTCATCTGGACAAAGAGCTGTCCACTCCACTAAATTGGTTCTTTGACAATTATGAGAAATTTTCCTTTCTATTCTTTTTTTAATATTCATTTATTTTAGAGGGGGGAGGAGAAGAGGGGCAGAGGGAGAGGGCAAAAAAAAATCTCAAGTAGACTCTGCTGAGCGCAGAGCCCAACACAGGGCTCAATCTCACGACCCTGAGACCGTGACCTGAGCTGAAACCAAGAGTCAGACCCTTAACTGGCTGTGCCACTCAGGCACCCCTCCTTTCTCTTCATTTGCTTTTTTCAGTTGTCTCTTGATCTGTTAAGAAATACCACAAACTTGTTGGCTCTGTGTACCATTTTCTCTGCTCTTAATAGAAGAAAATGTTATGACAATAATTCTGGTTAAATTTCCACATATGTTAGTGTATGTGAAAATGGATTATAAATGACAAAGTATAATATAATTAAGTAATCATCGTTATTAATATCAGAAGCCCATATACGGACAATAGCTAAGGAAGTTTTAGGTTTGTTACATCATCCAGAACAACTGGTTTCAAGGTCACATACACACAGAATACACTTTCTCAGGAGTCAAGAACTCTTTTCTCTTTTTTTGCACTGGCCATGTTAACAACAGTAACTTCAAGGAAGTCACTAGCCTTCTCTGAGCCTTAGTTTCTTCATGGATCAATTGA